CAGACCCGCCTACACCCGCCCTGAACCGCCCTGACCCGCGCCCGCACTCGCACGTACCCGCCCTCATCCACCCTCACCCACACCCCACCCGTCCTCACCCGCCCTGATCCGCTCTCACCGGCCCTGATCCGCTCTCAACTGCCGTCAACCACCATGGAATACGTCACCCCCACGAAGGCTGGAAATGTTCTGAAGATACTCGCCGAGAAACGGGCGGAGCGTGAGGAAAATCTCGCTGTATTTCTCCAAGACAGTCAAGCCACTGACACTGACTCCGATGTCGAAGATTCAGACCCGCCAGTCATGGACGCCTTCATTGCGTCTGGGGGAGCCGGCGCTGTTCTTGAAATGACAAACTTTTCTCTTCTAGAGTTCAACGCAATCTGGAACATTCTCAAGGATGCAATCACTACGGACTGGAATTGCGGTCGGGGTCGAAAATGCCAGCATCAACCGAAAGACGTGTTCTTTATGTTACTTTCCACGCTGAAGCACAGTGGAAATTGGGACCTTAATGGAAAGATGTTCGGCGTCAAAGGCCCAACATTTGAGCGCATGATTCTAGGGTTTGTCGAGAGGATTGTGGATGTACTGTATGATCTGGCGGTGATCAAGTATGAGAAGCGTTACACCATGCAACGTCTTCTGTATGAGAAGAAGACCTTCAAGCACTACAAGTTTGCACTGTATGCTACGGATGTCACCTTCCAGGCATGCAACAGGCCATCCGGAAATCACGAAGAGAGCAAAACCTACTTCAGTAACAAGCACAAAATGTATGGGTACAAGTCCGAGGTATCGGTATTGCCAAACGGCATCGCAATTGGAGCAACGCCACATCAGCCAGGCTCTGTTTCAGACTTAACAATCTTCAGGGACAACGTCCAGTGGCAGTGGTTCAGCACTGGCAAAAACCCGAGAGGAAATGGAAAACTTTCCAGATGTTGGTCCGTTGGCGGAGGAATATGAGGGGCTTTGGGCTGTTTTGATGGACAAAGGTTATCAGGGCGCAGCAGATGTCATTAGGGCAATAAGTCCGAAGAAAAAGCCAAAGGGAGGAATGCTCACTTCGGAAGAGCAGCGGACAAACCGAAACATTAGTTCTGACCGCATTATTGTAGAGAACTACTTCGGGCGGCTCTGTACGCTATAGGCTGTAATGGCCAATAGATGGAGGTGGGATGAGAAGCATTACGACCACGTTTTCAAATTGTGCGTTGCGTTGACAAATTTGCATGCCAAATGGCACCCATTGAGGGATGTCGACGGTCTACACGCCAAGCAGTACAAACGGCGACTGACTGAGATCGTCAAAAAAGCTGAAAAGCGTAAAGCTGCGCAGAAGCTCTACCGCGCGAAACGTGCTGCACGCATGTCCTCGGCGCTGGGTGCGGATGGAAGAGGTGAAGAGATGGGCGCGGGGGCGATGCTGGACATACTTAACACTTAGTATGCTTCGAAGTACGCCACTGCTTACTGTGTCAGTGCTCAAACTCGTTGTTCTTTCTTTATGCTTGCTCTTTTGCGCAATTTGCTCCTGTTTGCGCAACGATTGCGTCAATTGCAAAAAATAAAGTCTTTCACCTACAAACGCCGTTCTCTGCACACTGCTTAGTGTTTTCACATTTACTAAGCTACTGAATTCGAGCTCTATTAGAAAACCAGTTCGCGCGCACCAAATTCATATCTACACAGTAAAATCGTAATTCACTAGGAAATGCACAGTACAGCACCTTCACCGCATTTACTGATTAAAATCAAAGAGAACACAATGCATTACCCGTACAGTACTCTAAAACAAACCACGTAAATGGAAGGAGATGCGCACGTAACACCTCCCCACTCCGTGTCACTGTCATCAAACAGTGCACGACGCGTGCCACTAGACATGCGAACGCGGCGGTTTTCTGTGTTTTCAACGTGTACACGGCGCCTCTTTCGCATCTGACTAGTGGATATGGCCCGTAGGCGATTACGTACACCAGTGCGGTGCTGCCCGTCCTCGAAGCGGAGAGGGCGGGCCCTGACACTCACATTGGTCAACCCCAGGCACGCTTTGAACACGTGCTCGTACAATCCCTCTCCCCAGCGCCACTTATGAGAAAGTACAGTCCATAAACTGCACATTCTCCCAAAGTAGTTTTCTACTATGACACGATCAGAAGATACTTGGCGATTGTAGTCCACGTCGTCCAATCACAGCGTTGAACGTGCCGGGTTGCGCCCCGGGTGCACCACACGTAGATCTTCGGCTGCACCTTGATATCCCTTGTCCGCCAGTATGGCCCAGTAGTCATCCATAAATTCGCTCAATCGTCCCTCATCCGTAAACCGCAAATCACGTACCCCTTTTTTAGATGCCTCCTCATGAAAGGGTCTATTACGACGAAATATCTCCAGATCCGACACGGCGCCCGGATAGTGCTCTGTGCACCCAATAGCAAGCCCAGTAGGCAGTACTGAAACTTCCACTTTGTACCCATACAGCTTATGCTTACCGGAGAAGTATCGCTTCCCTTCTGATATATTTCCACTTGGACGATTGCTCTGCTGAAAAGTGACGTCGACAGCATATCTCGCGTATTCAAAATTCGAAAATACCCGGTCCTCCAGACGACACTTGGCCATTGTCCATTTTTCCTCGACGCGTGCCACACATATATCATACATGTATTCTGATATCATACGTAGAAATCCAGTTATTAAACGTTCGAAAGTAGAACATTTAACGGAAAATAGACGAGCTGTAAAGTTCCACTGCTGACCATGCTTGAGTACAGTAAGTGTCATAAAGAGAACATCCTGGGCCTTGTACTGTGTTCTTTTACCTCTGCCAACATTCTAATTCTTTGACACGTAGTCCTCAATCATAAGCCACAGTTCGAAGAATTGAGAAGAATCAAAATTACACATCGCCTTAATAGATTGAGAACCTCCGTCATTGTGAAACGTGTCATAAATCGGACAATTGGAGTCGTTCTCATCATCGCTGGCGACCACGTCGTCATCAATGTGATCGACGATTTCATTGACGTGTCGGTTGGTGATGTCCGAAAGAGCCTGAACAGCGCGGGAGGGATTCATTTTTGAAATTGTAAAAAGAGTGGGAGAAATGAGGAGCAGCTGCAAGAAGTGGTTTTTCTATATCAACTGCGCAGTTGTTCCATTTTATAGTGTTTAGTTGGAGTAGACTGAAACTGCAAGGCATATCTCACAAAAAGGCGGGCTTTCCCGTTTTTGAAAGTGGACTCGCAATTGAAGATATGATGCACAACTTATGCTATAATCTGCGTTGCTGTATTATTTGCACACTTAGTTTACTTTTCTACTGATATTCCCCAAACTCAAAGTGCTTTCACGCAACTGCAATACTTGAGGTACTGTACGTAGTTACCCTAGTACTTGCTCTCGGCAATAACATCTTGTAAAACATTGGGGTAGCAATTGTGAATACACAGAAAGACTACGAATCTAATCAAGTTTCAATAATCGGTTGACATTTTAAACAGGCGTTTTGGTTTCGAAGATATCAACACACAACGCGTTGAGGTTGCTCGAAAAGGATTCTGTTTTAGACATTCAAAAAATGGCTGGAAAAGACGTGCAGATCTCACTAAACTCCATCCTTCCGCAACGCAGAAGTCAACAGCGGTGGCGATAGTATCTTTTTCCTTCTTGTTGAGCAAGCAGAAGGTGAGAAAAAATAAGTTGAAAAGTGACCTCATATGAGGTCACGTCACGTGTCGTCTAGACAAGTGTCTACTAGCGCAAAGCAGAAGCTGCCGTTCTTTTGAGGGACGTGTGCGGCCGGGTTTCTTGCACCGGCTTACGGGTTCCTTTAGCCGTTGGCCATTTAGAAATGGGGATGTCGTCACGAGGAGCGTCATCTTCAAGCGAAAATGTGAAGTGGTGCTCGTGGTTCGCTGGGAGTCGAATATTGTCTTAGTTTGCAGTATCACTACCTAACACACTTTCTCGTCCCGCGCGTTCCACTCCTGTGAACCATCTTGACGTCCGCATAAATTCCCAGCAGTTGCGCAGGCGTCACCGCGTTTGATGTATTATGCCATTTTGTGACGCAAAATGCAGTCCCTCGGGATAACCCTGACATTGCGGCAACAGCACGAACAGAATAGATGTGCCACACAAGTTCCACTGCTTTTTTGCGGCGCGTGCGTTTGACTTTGCGCATTTCTTGCCGCCGCCGATGCGCTTACGTTTGTGTACGCATTGTTGGAGGCATGGTGACGGAAAGTGAGGAAAGTTGGTTATGGGCGCGCGCGAAAGGATGTTCGAATGGGGGAAGGGTGCAGATGGGGCAAGTGTAGTTGGGAAGGCGGAGACATGCTCCCTTCTGCGAGCATCTATGAGAAAAGGAGTGTCCCAATTTGAGCTCTGTCCCAGAATAAGCCAATGAGAAGGGTATGGTAATACACGACCCCACTCCCCGGACATGAAACCCCTCCACCGTTGCATCTTTCTCCTTCCGTGCGAGTCCTGGGCACCGTTACGATCTGCTGTAATCTACAAGCCCCATAATCGCCTAGACTTCAGAAACCAACTACACCTAAAACTTTCTTTGTCGAGAAACAAAAAAAAAGGTAGAGGTGATGCCGAGGTGACGCTTTGGTCTACTGTATTGTTAAGTGCTGATTCTGCCATATTCACGTAATCCTGCGCGATTTGGTCTTACCTCTAGCTGAATTTCCCACAATGCGCGTATTTGTAGCAGAGGCTTGCTCACTCAGTCGTCTTAATCATATCGCAATATTATGTAAAAGGTCGGAGTCGTAATTAGTTTCTTGCTGCGCCCGTACCCCAAAACGCCCACTGCTCAGTAAAAGTCTCAAAGCTGGAAGCTTTCTAGTATCCAGTGCTTATGATATCAACATCGTCCACAGTAGTGACTCTGATCCCTTCGATACCCAGTACAGTAGTTAGAGGGGTACGATACCCTCACCACCACGATTCGGTCCTCAAGTGCACAATCTGTTGATCTATCAATCGGAAGGGTCCAATACTACCGTCCCATCACCCAACTCCCTGAGTCCGCCTACTCCGCCACGTGCTTCCTCTACCATAACCTTTTTCAAGTCATTAAGTATCTCCCTGCTGATTGCGGAGAGCTGCTCGTTTTTTGTGTCTAGTTTTCCAAACAGTCCACGCTCCGTTACCTTAGCCACAGCCAAATCAAACGCAATTTCTGCATGGTTGCGGAACAGCTCTTGAGAGGCTGACGGCATACTATTGAACTCCTTTTCTAATCTTTGCAGTGCCTTTTGGGTTTCCTCCCACCAGTCGATATCGTCGCCAGCGGTAACTTGCTTTTCGCCGCCTGCTCTTCGGCTGCTCGCACCAGCCTTTGCGCTCGTCTTTCCAATGCTACTTACTTTCGCTTTCTTTCCGCTGATCATCAGAACTTCCTTATCATCAGTTCTGTTTCGCTTTGGCGCCCTTTGTATCTTCCCTGCCTCGTCCGATGCCGGTCGCCTTGCAAACCTTTTTTCACCTTTGCTTGCTCCATCAACCTGAGAATCTCGCTGAACACCAGCCAGCTCTGTTCCAGACAAAGCATTCTGGTTTAGCGAGGCTACAAGGTCTAGCACTTCTTCATTTGCCTGTTGAAGTGAATGCAGTCGTGCGGGGTCAACACTAGGCTCAACCTTGCCGTCGCTATCGTCGTCCTCAATATCGATGACCTGTTTCTTGCGTCGTCGCTCTTGATCTGTGTTTTCTCCAGACTTCCCAGGCATCTTATTTGCCCTGGCTGGCTCTTGTGCGTCTGTTGCATCCTTCTTTTCCTTGGGATCAAATTCGTCATCCTCAATCTCAATAGGCTTCCGTATACTTCGACTTCGCTTTCGTCTCGGTGGCTTCGCTCCCGTTCCCTTTGAGGGAGGCCGAATGATTGAGCCGTCTGAATGGATAAGTCTTCGCATGCGCTGGCGGGAGGTCTCGAACAAGTCTTTTTCGTCTGTGGGGTTCTTGAGAAGATGAGCCAACTCTCCCGTGTCTAACTCTCGGACTGCAAGATCTGGTGACAAACTATTAACAAAACATCGCACAATGCGGACTTGGTCCATATCCCGCTCATATCCTTCCGGTGGATTTTGCAAGAATTCCTCCCTTTCCAGCTTTGAAGATACTAGCCAGGCTTTCCCCTCAATGACGGTGATGTCATTGTAGCCTTCCTTCTCGACATGATCGGAAAAGTAAATTTCGTGCTTGATATGGTTTGGACAACTACTGCTTCTGAGAGTATGCTTGTTCATATCAGAGGAGTTGTAAAACCAACGCAGAGTTACGCGCATGAGTTCGTAGCCCTGGACATTATTGATCTTGCGCAAGTCCATTTGGAGTACCTCTCGGAGTTCTTCGTCGTCTTCGGTGGCTTCAAATAGTTCAACTATCTGCGCAGTCCATGTGTCGTCATTTTCACCCTTCATCACTACGGTGTCCCCAATCTTATACGTGCGGACAAGGTCGTCGGAAAGTCGGCGGGCTTGTATTTTCCTGTGGAAAACGCGACCAAGGTGCTTCTTCTGACCGTGACTAGTCCAAGACCACTCCCATTGCTCCCCTAGGAAATCCATGGCGGACGATTATCAAGGAATATGAAATTCGGCGCGCATGAGACAACAACCCAAGCAACGTGGGAGCCTTCGCAAAGGACTGGGGGCCCGTTCTTGACGTTCTGCGCGATGACAATGAGAGCTTCAAGTCGCACCTTGCCTACCTCCCGAGCCCTGCTCAAATGAAAAGACGTCTCTGTAGATCTTGAGCAACTATGCGTTCATGCTGAGCGATCTTGGTTCAGCTCTGCGAAGCTAGTGCTTACAGTATGAGTTGCATGGTCGACAGAAGCATGGATATTATGAGTCAGGGCTGTGACCATTCCAATAATTGCAAATTTATATGAAATGTTTGCCACTCTTTTCCAGAAGCGTGCTGTTGTAAATGATTTTTTGTCATTTTGATCGGACGCTTGAGAAGGATTCCCAACATGAGGAAAGACTTCACTCTTGTTCGTGTGTAACATGACATCGCAATCTGTCCTTGACTTGTTGATGTGGAGCATCCAGCCTTCAGGACACCACGGGACCCTAATGGAAGTATCTTCCTGCTAAAAGTAGGATTTCACCACAATTTGGAGCCCGTCAAAGTAGTATGACTTGCACTGTGGACTGTAATATTTAACCGAGAAGTGGTCTCAGTTCTCACAGGTTAGGAGGGAGAAGAAGAAGAAGAGCAAGGTGCCGTCTGCCCGACCCCGCGCACCGTCCCTCGTGGGAGTGCTCTCCACCACAAGCGGATATGGAGAAAGTGGCCCGTATCTTGTCTCGAGACGCAAAGGAGCCCAAAGACTGCAATTCGTGCGACCTATTCTTATGGATCCTGAGTTTAATCTTACCATTCCCGTTAGAGGGTATAACATGTTTTTCTCTATCGCAGGGGTCATAATTTTCGTATCAGATGACCTTTTTTGGAATGTCTCCCGCGATGCTCCTATCAATTTCCATCTTCGTGGAGATTGCTGACCGCGCGTCCTCTTTATTCTTCGCTTTTCGGGAGATCACTCTACGGTGGAAAAGCAATTCGGTGCGTCAACTCTTCGGCCGCGTCTTGTATGCCTACTTAAGACTTTCAGCGCCACACCGGATGCAATGAAATGAATCGCAAAATGTACATATGCCGTAACATGCGAGCTGTGCCACAGGTTTTGTGTCACTGGATAAAATGTTACTGGCGGTTGGTTGCCAATTTTGCCATACATGAATTGAGCTTTGCTGTGACGGATATAGCCTACGCTTGCCAACATCTTATCCCTGCGCTCTCTCGAGGTAAAATCGCAAGAAGATGAGTTGGATTCACATAGCTACGTTACACAAAACCCGCATAGAGTCTATGATAATCCAAGTTGAGCAAAGGCACGACAGTACCTTGTAACGTGTCTTAATGAGTTCTTCGCAATTCTAAGCAAGAGCGAATATATCAGGTTAATGCTGATGTACAGTAGTGGGTTCCTTGTCCTAGAGCTTTGGGGCCATAGGTATAGAACTGTAATAAACTGGACGGTGGGCACCTTTTGGGGAGATGGGCAAATTGTTGTTAGCCCCTTCTCAACAATACCGTCTAACACGCTCTCCTACACAAAAGCATACCCATGCAAGGAATGAAGAGGCTCGATGCTTTGAACATCGCTGAGTTCTGCATTCATACGTATGTTTAACAAACGCAAGGCACGCTCCGGCCTTTTAATTCGAGAAATTGAGGCCGCGGGTGTGGACTCAGACTGTTGGGATGTGAATAAAAACCTGCGGAACTCTTCACATCGACAACGAAAACACCATGACGCCCTACTCTGGTCCCAACGTTCTTTTGGTACTGGTTCCTACGGAGAACGCTCCTCGGATTGAAGAAGTTTGAATGTTGAGTCGGATGAACACAGTTGGAATTGCACAGAATTTCTATTCGAGAACTTCAATACATATATACAATCGTGTTAGGCACTGGTGACGACCGTAAATGTTTTGGATACTATTGAACCATCTTTATCGAAGTATCTATCAGGCTTGTACTCTTGGATCAGCCTGCTGTATTAATAAGAGCGCACCCATGGCAGGAAATGAACAATCTACTGTAGAGAAAATACTGTAACACGATGGCGACAATTGCATATCCCTGACAGGGACCAGCTTTCTTTTTTATATGCTTTATGTATTCAATGACTATTGTTGCGAATGCTATCTCATGGACCAGCTTTCTAATGTGTATGCTTTATTCAATGACTATTGTTGCGACTTTCCGGTCCATGAAGCGGCTTGATTCCTGTATCAGCTTCGGCTGCCAAGGTTACTGTACTTCTCCAGGCCTCTTGTGCGCGTTACAGTATGTACATACAGTACAGTATATCAGTACTGTTGAGGAAGAACTGAACCCCACGTGTAAACGTGGACGAACGGATCGCGAACCGGAACAGGAGTGCACGTGCGCGCATGTAGGGAACCGAAAGGGCGGGTAATCCAGTCTTCCGAAGGGAAAAAGGGGTGCAGCTGGTGTCGCGCGTAGCGCCAACGGCAAGGAGGACGGCAATGGACGGTAGGAGTTGGGGGGGGGGGCCCCCAGTCGTTGGACAGCCCCGGGTGGTCGGGAGCTGCTGGGTCGAAAGGAAAGGGGGCAGGGGAGGAAAGATCAGAGACAGCTGAGGCCTCCCGGGGAGTAGTACTTAATCGCCTACCCTCAGAGATAGAGAGGGGAGGCAGCGAACTAGCAAAGAGTAAAGGAAGTGGGTGGATTCCCGACTTTACGACTCGCTCGGTGCCTCGCAGTTGGATTACCGCAACATTACAAGCTTGTAAGTGATCGTGGCACTTGCGATCAGACTGCCGGTGAGCGGCAGGGGCAAGGAACAAGGGGCATAACTCGTGATGGACGGCTCGGATCAGACAGATAAGGAGGACCGTCGCATAGCGAAGGGCTTAGGACGAAACCCTGAAGGCCTGCCTTCCTCAAGCCCGGTGACCGGGGTCAATAGGGCGCCGGTCACCCCGCCGACACACACTACACCAAGGTCTCTGGTGTCGGAAATGACCCTACAAGATGAAACTGGATCTGCTAGTGCTGGAGGAGCAGTTCGTGGTGCTTCTGGCACAGATATGCATATTCTACATGCAGTTTCCAGCATGAAAGAAGTTATGGAAATGATGATGGAAGCCATCGACCGAAACACAAAGACGATCATAATGATGGGACAGACGGTCTCAAACGTGACCAGCGCGATGGCAACCGCGGATTTCCGGCCGCAAGATGCAGTTACGACTACCGGCAACCAGCAGAAGACGGCAGACACCGGAGAAGGTCTATCTGTTGCAGAGAATGATTTTGAGGCAAAGGTTAGCGAGGGACTCAGATGTGGCCATCAGGCGCCAACGGGTACGAGGGATGAACAATATGGCAGACACTTCTCTGACTTTTACCTGCCCCAGACAGCTTACAAAATTTACAGTAAGTCGATGGACCCCGTCAAAATCTCAAAGCCGGGAGACCCGCATTTTTTCGCTGCCCGGAGGGCATGGAGACGCATTTGTCAGGACTTCCCCGTGCGACCTGGTTGCCATCGTCGTCTTCTGGCTCGTGCATTTTCGGGAACGGCGTTGGCTATTTTGGAGGAGATCGCGTCCGCGCACCTTGATGCCGACGCAGATGAGCTCTGGGTCCTGTTGCAGGATCGGCTTTGCAATGGAAGCCATCAGAGAAGTCTACGGGTGGCATTTGATATGATGGAGTGGGACGAAGCACTGAGTCCATCAGTCAATTTGCGCACCGCTTGTGCGCTGCTGCCGTGGCACTTCCGGAAAGGGTCTCAGAAGAGAGAATTCTGGATCAGTTCACGCAATCTCGGAGCGTAAGGCTCCGCGATCATGCCCTGGCGGCGCAGGGGACATTCGACGAGGTAGTTAGCAGGGTGTCTATGATGGGCAAAAAAAAACCCAGCTTCAACCGCGAGTCGAAAGCCCGACCGGAGCGCGTGCGTGCCATAGACAGCAGCAGCAGTCGCGAGAAGCAAGTCATCTCGACCGTTCCAGATGCGGTCGCGACGCCCCCCTCTACACTTGCCGAAGACCGCTTTCTTTCGGCCACGTGCTACTACTGTGGCCTGAAGGGCCACCTCGCACGCTCGTGTGAAAAAAAGCGCCGCGACAGGGCGGAAAGGGGCCTCGGTTCGTCGGGGGAAGGTGCGGGGGAAGGAAACGCGACCGGCGCCCCTCCCAGCAAGCGCAATTAGTGGCCGGTCGGGTCCCTCGCACAAGGGAGGCGGAGAGGGTGTGTCGTTGCGAAGGAGGCAGTAGGAGCCTCGACGACGACGTTGTCGTCCAACTGTGCGCAGGGTCGGACAAGGTGTGGGTCCCCCTGGACACGGGGGCGCGATCGATATGGGTCGATCGGTCGTGGTTCGAACGAGTGGGAGGAAAGTGGGTCCCAGATGGGGACACCGCTACAGCTGCGGACGGCCACAAAATTGCCGTCTGCGGCAGAGGGGAGCTCGCTTTTGAGCTCTGGGGCACAAGGTTTGCAGAGCCAGTGAGGGTCGCAGAGCACCTCCCGAGTAAGGTCCTTGTCGGGAGCCGGTTTTGGCGTCGGCACGGCTTGGTCCTCAACTTACGGACACTTCGCGGAAAGCTGTGGGTCGACGGGAGACGCATTCGAGGAGAGGTCACGAGAAGTCTGATCAACAATGCCGCTCTGGAACTGATGGCGGCAATCACCGACGCCGATGTCGACATCGGCATGGATTTGTCTCAGTTTCATCCGGAGCGCGGAGTACAGGAGGAACTACGAAAAATTCTGTGGAACCGCCGCGCTGTCTTCAAGGGACTGGGGAGAATCGGGGGTGTGCAGCATAGGATTCAGCTAGTCGAGGGCGCCACGCCAGTGTGCTGTCCGGTGAGAAGACGATCTCCTCGCGAGGAGGAGGTCGAACGCGCCGAAATGGAGAAATTGCTGAGGATGGGGGTGGTCGAGCCGGCATCATCCCCGTGGGCCGCGTGCAACGTTTTTGTCAGAAAGAAAGACGGGACGTTGCGCGTAACCTCTGATTTCCGCGCACTGAACGCGCTGACGGTCACAGATACGTATCCAATGGAGGACGTAAGGGCTACCCTCGACTGGATGGCGACGAAATGTATCTTCTCTACATTTGATCTGAAAGACGGATTCTTTCAGGTCGAGCTTGAAGAGGCATCGCGAGATTTTACCGCGATCCGGACTGTCGTAGGGCTGCTCCGCTACATTCGCCTACCGCAAGGAATGAAAAACTCTCCGGCCGTTTTCCAACGTATCGTCAACTTCATCTTGGGAAACAGAAAGGGGTTGGATGTGTGGGCGTTTATGGATGACGTCAGCCTGGGAACTGCTACTGTGGAGGAGCACCTCCGTTCTGTAGACACGGCATTAGAGACATTTTACAATGCCGGTGCTCGGCTGAAACTGGCCAAGTGCCAATTTGGGGTGCGTGAGGCGGAGATCCTGGGACACAGGATTGACAGCAAGGGCATCAGGCCCTCGGACGCCCACGTTGCGGCGATACGACAGCTCGTCGAGCCTGGAGGGGGCGAAGAACTCATGCGGTTTCTGGGGTTAATGAATTTCTTCGCGGACTTTATTGACCACTTTTCGGAATTGGCCAAACCTCTACACGAGGTCTTGGTAGGGACTGGGTTCAATAAGAAAAAAAAGAGAGGCCAGAAGTTGATCATCCCAGACTGGAGTAACCGATGGGGGTGGCAACAGAAGAGAGCGTGGGCTGATCTGAAGGCGGTGTTGAGCAACCCGGAGTCTCTTGTGGCACCGAGGCGTGGTGCGAGCAAGGAGCTCATGACGGACGCGAGTGCGTACGGCGTGGGGGGAGTCTTGCTCCAGCGGGAAGATGACGGAAAGTGGCACCCTGTCTCTTTCACGAGCAGGAAGCTCACCGACGCCGAAAGAAAATTTACTGTGACGGAGAAAGAATGTCTGGCAGTTGTTCACGGACTGCGCAAATGGCGCTTCTACCTGCATGGGGAGACTGACGTGGTCGTGGTCACCGACCATTGCTCGCTGAAGTGGTTAATGAGTCTCAAGGACCCGCGGGGGAGGTTGGCGAGGTGGATGGTGAGCATCCAGGATTTCGACTTCACAGTCGTGTATGCCCCAGGAGGGGAGCTCGTTGTCCCTGACACCTTGAGTCGGGACTCCGTCGAGAAGCCACTTTGCGCGCGCTGTTTCAAGGCGCTCGAGGAACCAGTGGCTGAGGAAGGAAAGATCGAGGCCGTCCGCGCA